ATCTGAGTCTTCGTCTTTTGGTTTGTTTTTTCAAAACCACAGAATGTGGATTGGCAACATTATAAGACTTGGGAGGGTTATTATAGATGCTCTTTTATTAATGTGAATGCGGTCAAATTGTTTCTTTGGAGGTGCAGACAGAGGGAGATTTATTAAAAGCAGCCTCTGGGCAACTACCAGAGATTAAGAAAAATGTAGCTAACTACCTGTTATGTCAAGTTTCATTTTCCAGATCAAAATTCACTGTGTCAGCGGGTTTCCTTTGTTGTTAATTGAAAAGAAAGAGGGAAAAACCAACCACACCAACACGCACAGAGAGAACTTTGTATGCACTGGAGAACTTCACAAGACTAGCTCACAAGATTTATATTTTCTAAATGGCTGTTATTTCCTACTTAAAACAGAGCTGCAGATAAAAGGCAGAGGCACTTAGATAATGGTGAGCCAAGGCGTTTGATGATGTTGTTCCCATGATTTCTGTACACCAATCCAGACACACTGGATGGCTCACACAAAACGGATGAAAGCGACAACCATGTAATACAAATTATTATGGGCACAATCTAGCCAAAGGTACGCTCATTTAACTTTTTAAAGCTCCAATATACAGGCTTCTGTTGTAGCACACACAGCATAACTGAACATCCAACGTCTACCCAGAGATGGCTGAGGGCAGATTTTCTGCATTGCAGGGGGTTGGACTAAATGATCCTTGGGATCCCTTCCAACTCTTGATTCTATGATTCTACCATCTTTACACATGCGCAGATGTTGATTACCGCACTCTTTGCTTTCTGAAAGAACTGCAGAAGGCCCGTCTCTGGTTCACATGCTGATGGGAAGGCTGTGCTTTGACCCTTTAAATAACTCATTGCCATCTTAACGCATCCTTCTGAAGAACTGCATAAGTCCTGCTAGGCATCTTCCATTATGATCTTGTTGTTGCCGCTGCTCTGCACTTTCAGCTTGCACCGCTGCCCATAGTAGTTCCACGTCAACCTGACTATAAACCCAGGGGTTGTGAAGGAGGAGGAGGAGGAGGAGGAGGAGGAGGAGGAGGAGGAGGAGAAGAAGAAGAAGAAGAAGAAGAAGAAGAAGAAGAAGAAGAAGAAGAAGAAGAAGAAGAAGAAGAAGAAGAATTTATTATTTATACCCCGCCCATCTGGCTGGGTTTCCCCAACCACTCTGGGTGACTTTCAACAGAATATTAAAATACAATAGTCTATTAAACATTAAAAGCTTTCCTAAGCAGGGCTGCCTTCAGATGTCTTCTAAAAGTCTGGTAGTTGTTTTTCTCTTGGACATCTGGTGGGAGGGCATTCCACGGGGCGGGTGCTACTATTGAGAAGGCCCTCTGCCTGGTTCCGAGGGAACTGCCAGAAGGCGCTCGGCGCTGGACCTCAGTGTCTGGGCAGAACGATGGGGGCGGAGACGCTCCATCAGGTATACTGGACCGAGGCCGTTTAGGGCTTTAAAAGTCAGCACCAACACTTGAATTCTGCTCGGAAACGTACTGGGAGCCAATATAGGTCTTTCAGGACCGGTGTTATATGGTCTCAGTGGCCGCTCCCAGACACTAGTCTAGCAGCCGCATTCTGGATTAGTTGTAGTTTCCGGGTCACCTTCAAAGGTAGCCCCACATAGAGCGCATTGCAGTAGTCCAAGCAAGAGATAACTAGAGCATGCACCACTCTGGCGAGACAGTCCGCGGGCAGGTAGGGTCTCAGCCTGCATACCAGATGGAGCTGGTAGACAGCTGCCCTGGACACAGAATTGACCTGTGCCTCCATGGACAGCTGTGAGTCCAAAATGACTCTCAGGCTGCGCACCTGGTCCTTCAGGGGCACAGTTACCCCATTCAGGACCAGGGAGTCCTCCACACCTGCCCACCTCCTGTCCGCCAAAAACAGGACTTCTGTCTTGTCAGGATTCAGCGTCAATCTGTTAACCGCCATCCATCCTCCAATCACCTCCAGACACTGACACAGGACCTTCACCACCTTCACCGGTTCTGATTTATTATCCGCATATTGATGGACACCCAGCCCAAACCCCCTGATTATCTCTCGCAGCGGCTGCATGTAGATGTTGAAAAGCATGGGGGAGAGGACAGAGCCCTGAGGCACCCCACAAGTGAGATCCCAGGGGTCTGAACACTTATTCCCCCCCCCCCCACTTTCTGAACAGAGCCTAGGAGGAAGGAGCGGAACCACTGTATAACAGTGCCCCCAGCTCCCAGCCCCTCTAGACGGCCCAGAAGGATGTTATGGTCGATGGTGTCAAAAGCCGCTGAGAGCCAGCAGAACTAGGAAACAGCTCTCACCTTTGTCCCTAGCCCGCCGGAGATCATCGACCAGTGCGACCAAGGCAGTTTCAGTCCTATGATGAGGCCTGAATCCTGATTGGAAGGGATCCAAATGGACACAATCCAGCAGGACATAATCCAGTTTTACAATTTACATTTATATTCAAATAATAGCCATAATCATACACATATGATCCCCTGAATCCTTGCATTTCCCTCCACCCCTCAATGGGTCCCATTGCCAATCTGTTTTCAATTGCATCTTACAATATTCTCCATCTTTTCTTAAAAGTCCCTTTTTAACCATAGTACTTGTTACATTACAAACGTTATGCCAAAGTTTTTAGTTGTTTACGGTGTTCTCCGAGGTAGCTTATAAATTTCCCCTATTCCTCATTAAAATTTCTATGTTCCTGTTTTCTAATCTTACAGGTCATTTTCGCCATTTCAGCGTAGTCCATCATCTTTATCAGCCACTCTTCTCTGGTTGGGACTTTATCTTCTTTCCATCTCTGGGCCAGAAGTATCCACACTGCCGTTGTTGCATACATAAATAATCTCTTCTTTTCCTTAGCCTATTGGAAGGTATGGAATAGGACGTCCCTATTTTCATCGGAGAAATATTAGAGGGTATGGAGTTATGCAACCGGCGAGCCAAGGAGATAAGTAACTATACAACCTTTAGAAGACATCTGAAGGCAGACCTGTACAGTGGTGCCCTGCAAGACGAATGCCTTGCAAGATGGAAAACCCGCTAGACGAAAGGGTTTTCCGTCGCGGAGGCGCTTCACAAGACGAAGTTCCCTATGGGCTGAGTCTCGCCATTCCCCCCCCCCCGCTCCCCCCCATTTTCAAAGCGGCTAAGCTGTTAATAGCCTTTTAACAGCTTAGCCGCTAAGCCGCTAATAGCGCTAAATCGCTAATAGCACTAATCCGCTTAGCCGCCAATGGGGTTGCTTCGCAAGACGAAAAAACCGCTAGAAGAAAAGAATCGCGGAACGGATTCTTTTCGTCTTGCGAGGCACCACTGTATAGGGAAGGTGTTTTTTTAAATGCTTACTGTTTTATTATGTTTTTATATATGTTGGCTGGAGGCAGACTTGCTTTTGCAATCATGAGGTCTAGAAACCTGCGATGCCTGCTGGTTAATAAGTGGTGCATAAACTATGAATGCTCATGGTAAGCAATACACTCTGCTAAGAAACAACACAGCTTTCCTTCAGCTTCCGAGTCTGCCCGGTTGCCAGCCACCCAGTGTCAAGCATTACCTCAGCTCGGTTCTTTTTTCCTTTCTCTTCCCTCTATGTAAACTGAGAGAACTCTGAAGCATGAGTTATCCAGATTCTGGAAATACTTGGAAAATACCAGTTTTTCAGAGTCTTGGCTCCATGCCATGTTTTTCTGGGAGGCTCTCCAGGTAGCAGAAAATAGCAAAGCCTACAAAAGCAGGGGGTGGAGGGGGAGCAGAGGAATTTGGTGGACGGGGGGGGGACAATATAAAATTCAAGCTTTCTTTTCTTTCTTTTTAAAAATATTTTTTATTTGATTTCACAAGTATAAAATTATAGCAATACAACCGTAAGGTAAAGGTAAAGGTACCCCTGCCCGTACGGGCCAGTCTTGCCAGACTCTAGGGTTGTGCGCTCAGCTCACTCTATAGGCCGGGAGCCAGCACTGTCCGCAGACACTTCCGGGTCACGTGGCCAGCGTGACAAGCTGCATCTGGCGAGCCAGCGCAGCACACGGAACGCCGTTTACCTTCCTGCTAGTAAGCGGTCCCTATTTATCTACTTGCACCCGGGGATGCTTTCGAACTGCTAGGTCGGCAGGCGCTGGGACCGAGTGACAGGAGCACACCCCGTCGTAAGGATTTGAACCGCCGACCTTTCGATTGGCAAGTCCTAGGCGCTGAGGCTTTAACCCACAGCGCCACCCGCGTCCCTAATACAACCGTACACATCCACATTTGTAGATTCCTCCGAATTTCTGGACTTTCGAAATTCCCTTCCATGGGTCCTATTGTTAATCTTTTCAACTGCATATTATTCAACAGTCCATATTTTATATCACTCCATTTTGTCCATAATGTTTGCTACAATCCTGCTAATGTTTTCATCTGGTCTCCAAGATAAATTAAAAAAATTCCCTATTCTTTGTTAAAGTTTTGCACCTCTTGGTTCCTGCCTTCTGGTCAGTTTTGCCATTTCATGTTTTGCCATGTACTACAGTATTTTAATATTTTTTTGGAAGCCGCCCAGAGTGGCTGGGGAAGCCCAGCCAGATGGGCGGGGTAAAAATAATAAATTATTATTATATTATTATTATTTCGGCATAATCCAACAGTTTAGTTTGCCATTCTTCTCTGGTAGGGACCTTGCCTTCTTTCCATCTCTGGGCTAGCAACATCCGTGCGACTGTCGTCACATAAATAAAAAGTCTTTTCTGCTTAAAATCCAAGCTTTCTTAGGCAAAAGCTTGGATTTGCTTGAGGAAATCGACAGAACCGGGCATCCTCCTGCTGGAACGTAGCCAATTCAAAAGTGCAGATCCAGGGCCCCTCCTGATTGGCCAGCATCCTTTGGCAGATGCATTCCGCACCACGTCATGGACACAATAAAAGTGCATCAGTGGTGGGTTTATGCTGGACCGTCCACACTTCATTCCACTCAATCAGTTGTTCTGTGATGCTTCCCCAATGTTACAGCATTGGTTGCTGCAACAAGAGTACCGCATTTTGGCTGTTGCAGTGCAGATCCAGGTCATCAAGTCTGAGCTTCTGCAGCTGCCACCACCTGCCATTAAAAAAAAGGTAAAGATAAAGGACCCTTATTTGGCGACTACGGGGTTGTGGCGCTCATCTTGCTTTCAGGACGAGGGAGCCAGCGTTTGCCCACAGACAGCTTTCTGGGTCATGTGGCCAGCAGGACTAAACCGCTTCTGGTGCAACGGAACATTGTGACGGAAGCCAGAGCGCACAGAAATGCTGTTTTCCTTCCCGCCACAGCAGTACCTATTTATCTACTTGCACCGGTGTGCTTTCAAACTGCTAGGTTGGCAGGAGCAGTGACCGAGCAACAGAAGCTCACCCTGTCGCAGAGATTCGAACCACCAACCTTCCGATCGGCAAGCCCTCGGCCTGAAAGTGAGATGAGCGCCACAACCCCATAGTCGCCTTTGACTGGACTCCAGGGGTCCTTTACCTTTTACCTTTTTACTGCATGGACTGATTGTCCAAATTATCACCATGAAGGATAATAAAGGCAATTGTGGCGCAGGGTTCCAGTGGTGTCGGACACAGACTCCTTGAGTGAGTGTGCTTATGAATGACTGATGTCCCTGACATAGTATCTGGCTCATCAGCCACTGTCCAAAGAGATGCTAACCTTTCAGCTGTGCTGTACTGCGGACTCACCATTTTAGTGCTTCTGGGAGGCGTCCGTGTCTTTCAAGGTGGGGTTTATGAGCCGGCAGTCCCTGGACCAAACTCTAAAGTTAAAAGGTAAAGGTACCCCTGCCCGTACGGGCCAGTCTTGACAGACTCTAGGGTTGTGCGCCCATCTCACTCAAGAGGCCGGGGGCCAGCGCTGTCTGCAGACACTTCCGGGTCATGTGGCCAGCGTGACATCGCTGCATCTGGCGAGCCAGAGCCGCACACGGAAACGCCGTTTACCTTCCCGCTAGTAAGCGGTCCCTATTTATCTACTTGCACCCGGGAGTGCTTTCAAACTGCTAGGTTGGCAGGCGCTGGGACTGAACAACGGGAGCGCATCCCGCCGCAGGGATTCGAACCGCCGACCTTTCGATCGGCAAGCCCTAGGCGCTGAGGCTTTTACCCACAGCGCCACCCACGTCCCCAAACTCTAAAGTTATGTGACTCTAAATACAAAAGATTTCGTTTAAATTTTATAGGGTTTATGGTATGGTTTTATGTACTATTGCAGTAAACGGTTTTTTTCTTTTATGAAGCAGCAGAATGTAAATATCTTTTTATAAAACAATGAACTAAATACATGAAATGTGGAGATGTATGAGCAGCAATCGGATTTGTGCAAGAGCAACTGACCAGGCAGGTTTGGCAGCAAAGACTTCTCTGCTCACTCTACTGTCCTGGCAAGGGGCAGTGGCACTGGTGTTGGGAGGAAGGCGCTGCAGTTTTGTGCCGGCCAGCCATACCTGCATTGATGTGCCATCCCTAATAATCTGAGCTAACCAACTCAGATGCCTGCTTCTGGGAAGAAAAGCAAAAATATGCAAAATATGGCCTGAAGCTCAACATCAAAAAAAACGAAGATCATGGCCACTGGTCCCATCACCTCCTGGCAAATAGAAGGGGAAGAAATGGAGGCAGTGAGAGATTTCACTTTCTTGGGCTCCGTGATCACTGCAGATGGTGACAGTAGCCACAAAATTAAAAGACGGCTGCTTCTTGGGAGAAAAGCAATGACAAACCTAGACAGCATCCTAAAAAGCAGAGACATCACCTTGCCAACAAAGGTCCATATAGTTAAAGCTATGGTTTTCCCAGTAGTGATGTATGGAAGTGAGAGCTGGACCATAAATAAGGCTGATCGCCGAAGAATTGATGCTTTTGAATTATGGTGCTGGAGGAGACTCTTGAGAGTCCCATGGACTGCAAGAAGATCAAACCTATTCTAAAGGAAATCAGCCCTGAGTGCTCACTGGAAGGACAGATCCTGAAGCTGAGGCTCCAATACTTTGGCCACCTCATGAGAAGAGAAGATTCCCTGGAAAAGACCCTGATGTTGGGAAAGATTGAGGGCACAAGGAGAAGGGGACGACAGAGGACGAGATGGTTGGACAGTGTTCTCAAAGCTACCAACATGAGTTTGACCAAACTGTGGGAGGCAGTGGAAGACAGGAGTGCCTGGCGTGCTCCGGTCCATAGGGTCACAGAGAGTTGGACACGACTAAATGACTAAACAATAACAGCAACAAACCAACTCACAAGGGGGGAAGTGGCAGAAGTATTTTGCGTGGGCGCATCACAAAGATGAAGATGTCTTGCAGGGCCAGCAATATGAGAAGTAATTGGCCGATCTATAAAGAGCTTCTAATTGAAGTTGAAAATCAGTTAAAACTAAAAGAATTTGAAGAGATAAAGGCAGCTGTATAACATAACTGATTGGTTACAGTATCACCAATCAAATGATATCTTTAAGATAGGTAAAAAGAAAGGTTTTAGTTACAAAATATCAAAATTTCAAAAAGAACTTCTAGAAAGTAATATTAAAATCTGTCAAAAATGTATAATTTGCTCCTGTAATGACATACAAAAGATGAACAGGTTAAATTGGTTATGATACACTGGGTATAAATAATAATAATAATAATAATATAATAATAATATAATTATATAATAATATTATTGCAAAACTATCAAAGGATGAGGGCTGATAATAAATTCTGAATGTTTTGGTTTAAACAGGGAGTGCTTCTGGAAAAACTGGGCATTTGCCATAGGTATATCATCTGGAGGGCTGTGTACAAGGCAATGCCACCAATAAAAGACTCAAAGTTGATCATAAAGGACCTGGTTTTCGATGAGGTGCCCGTGAGGGTGTACTGGCCCAAGACATCACCTGCCGGGAACAGGAGAGGAATCATCTATCTTCATGGAGGCGCTGGACTCTTTGGAAGCATCCGTAAGTTCTTTGAAATAGTTTCAAAATGGTTCGCGATATCATCTGAGGAGAATTTGGGGTGGTACTTTCATGTAAAGTTCCTGGGAGTGGTTTGTACTGCTCCTGTAGGCAGTTTAAGTTTAGTGTCAGGGTCAAGGAAAAAATCCTTAAAATATCAAAGAAGGTTTTTTTCTGATTCGTGCCTCAAAGGACTTCTATGAAAGGGCTTCCAGAGGTGATTGGAAATAACTGGAAAGAAGCCCAGAAATGTGGGTGGAAGTTTGGTTCTGTTCTGATTTTTACCCATTGACACTGCTCTGTTACTGATCAGTAAAATCCACATAATGGTTTTCAGCTGGCGGTGCCCCATTGACAAAGAGTTCAATCCAACTCAGCTTTTCCCAGATGAAATTCGTGGAAAGTCGTTCTTTTCTGCAATCAGGTGTCATATACACCTCATGACATAAAAATAGATAAATAAACAGATCGAAATTAGTCCTATCTCTTTTTTTAAAAAGATATTTTATTGAAATTTTCACCTTATTACATTAAAAAAGAAAAAATCAAAAAAGAAAAGACAAAAAAGTTAAAAACACATAAAGTTTTTATCCTTATTTTCGATAACATATTTCCCAGACTTCCCCACACCTCCCCTTCTTGTATTCCAATTCAAATTATTAGTTCAACAAGTTCTTGTCCCCAATTCTTGTCCTTTTAAATTTAATTCATTTTTAAAAAAACCAATTTAAACTTATAAAACATCAATATTTGTACATCAGTACTCATTCTTAAAACCTTTTTCTAAAGTCGACCCAAATTCCCTTCCACGAATTCCCCAATTTTCATACCAATAGCAAAACAGAATAAAAAAAGAAACAAAATATAATTGTACGCCCTTTGGATTCCCAAACCCCACCCCACCCCTTTCCTGGTTTTGATCCCCAACAAATGTCCATCAGTCTTAGTCTACTATCAGCCTGGAGACCTCACGTCCGAGGCTCTTAATTCTCTCAAATCCTTTCTGCCGGTTTTTTTGATAGTTCTTAGTGTTAAACACCAGATCTCGGAGAAGCTCTATCCCAATAGGGTCCATGTTTCTTCCAGCCAGACCTCCATACTTAAAAGTGGAGCACGAATCTTGTTTCTTACTCCTTTTAAGTCCAAATGTCCCAAAAGCTCCAACTTCCACCTTAGAAATTAGTCCTATCTCTTGATGTCGATAAATTTACTTTCAGTAGGACTAGCACTGCACCCAACTCACAATGATTTCAAGGAAAAGAATGGTAATGGGGGGAGGGGCTTGTGCTTTCTTCCAGGAGCCTCTGAAAGGGTTTGTCGTTCCTTTGCCCACCTAAGTGATTCAGTAGTTGTGAGTGTCAGGTAAGTGGCTTCACTCTCATTGTAAAGATTGTGTAATGCCCCCCAGCTTCTACCTTTCCGAAGACCTAAACCAATAATAATAATAATAATAATAATAATAATAATAATAATATGTTTTTAATTTATATAGCCACTCTGGGCGGCTCCCAACAAAACACAGTAAAAATACAATACAGTCATACCTCTTGTTACGTTTGGTTCAGGTTACATTCTTTCAAGATACGTCCCACGGCGACCCGGAAGTAATGGAACGGGTTACTTCCAGGTTTTGTCGCTCGAGCATGCGCAGACGCTCAAAATGACATCACACACATGCACAGAAGAGGCGAATCGTGACCTGCACACGCGCAGACGGGGTTGCGTTCTGCTCAGGTGGCGGACGGGTCCCGTTCGCAACCAGAGGTACCACTGTATAACATCACCCACTAAAAATTTCCCTGAACAGGGCTGCCTTCAGATGTCTGTTAAAAATCACATCACTATTTATCTCCTTGACATCTGCTGGGAGGGTGTTCCACAGGAGGCCCTCTGCCTGGTTCCCTGTAATTTCTCCTCTCGCAATGAGGGAACCACCAGAAGGCCCTTGGAGCTGGATCTTTGTGTCCAGGCTGGACGATGGGAGTGTAGATGCTCCCTACAGGGGCCAAAGCCATTTAGGGCTTTAAAGGTCAACATCAACACTTTGAATTGTGCTCAGAAACGTACTGGGAACCAACGTAGTTCTTTTAGGACTACAGTGTTACATGGTCCTGGTGGCTGCCCCCAGTCACCAGTCTAGCTTCTGCATTCTGGATTAGTTGTCGTTTCCAAGTTGCCTTCAACGTTAGCCCCACATAGAGCGCATTGCAGTAGTCCAAGCAGGAGATAACCAGAGCAGGTAGCACCACCCTGGCGAAAGTTTGCATTTGCTTGCCATTTTTGTCTTAGGTCCCACTCACAGCTGTGGCCCCCAGAAGGTTACACAGAAAGGAATGTGGCCCTGGGGGGGGTAAAAACATTCCCAACCCTTGCAGTATGCCATGCAGTAATCATAGAATCTTAAGAGTTAGAAGGGACCCAAGGGCCATCTAGTCCAATCCAATGCAGGGATCTCAGCCAAAGCAATAATAATAATAATAATAATAATAATAATAATAATAATAATTTATTATTTATACCCCGCCCATCTGGCTGGGTTTCCCCAGCCACTCATGGCGGCTTCCAACAAAACACTAAATTACAATAACCTATTAAACACTAAACACTTCCCTAAACAGGGCTGCCTTCAGATGTCTTCTAAAAGTTTGGTAGTTATTTTTCTCTTTGACATCTGGTGGGAGGGTGTTCCACAGGGCGGGTGCCACTACCAAGTAGGCCCTCTGCCTGGTTCCCTGTAACTTGGCTTTTTGCAGGGAGGGAACCGCCAGAAGGCCCTCAGTGCTGGACCTCAGTGTCTGGGCAGAACGATGGGGGTAGAGACGCTCCTTCAGGTATACTGGACCGAGGCCATTTAGGGCATCCATGACAGATGGCCAAAATGGCCTGTATGTGATTGAATGTGGGCAACCTTTTGCTTTCTCTTTAGATTCCGTTTAGCTCCTGAGCATCCGTATCCAGTCCCATTCCTGGACTGCTGTACTGCTGCAATCCACTTTCTGAAGAACGCAAAGGAATACAGAGTGGACCCCAGCTGTATCGCCATTGTTGGGGAGAGTAGCGGGGGGACATTTGCTGCGGCCGTTTGTCAAGAGCTGGTGACCAGAGAGAACCTTCCAAGCCTGCGAGGTCAGGTCCTGATCTACCCATTCTTACAAACAGGGGACTTTTATTTGCCCTCCTATCAGCAAAACCAAGCAGTCCCTCCCTTGTTCAGGAAACGAGCTGTCCATTTTGGCTTGAGACATCTCACCGGGAAGGAGATCGATGTGGACGGAGTTATCAAAGGCGCCCATGTCCCTTACGATTTGAGGGAGAAATACAGGAAGTGGATCAACGTTGATTACATTCCAGAAGAATTCAAGGCGAGGGGCTACGTGCCTAAAGCACCTGCCCCGTTTTCAGAAGAACTTTATGAGCAAGTTAAAAGAGCTGGAGAGGCCATCTATGCGCCACTTCTAGCGGAGGATAACATAATCCGCCAACTCCCTAAGACTTTCATTCTAACCTGCGAGTATGATGTCCTCCGGGATGACGGGCTGTTGTACAAGAAGCGGTTAGAGGACAACGGGGTGCCGGTGACACACCACAATCTTCCAGACGCAAGCCATGCAACCATGAGCTTTTATGCTATGGGGCCGCTTGAATTACCAAGCTCCAAGATATGTATGCAGCATGTAGTACAGTTCTTAAAAGGTTTATAGAAACGAAATACAGAAATAACGAACGTTGGAAATGTAAAGAAAAAGAGGGGAACTTGTATCACACGTGGTGGACTTCTTGCAAGGTGAAAAGCTTATTGGGAAATGATATACAGTGGTACCTCGGGTTACATACGCTTCAGGTTACATACGCTTCCAGTTACAGACTCTGCTAACCCAGAAATATTACCTCGGGTTAAGAACTTTGCTTCAGGATGAGAACAGAAATCATGAACGGGAGAAGAAATTTAATTTTAAAAAATAATAATAATAAATAGTTTCTTCTCTAGCATGGTGAATTATCAGTTCTGTTGCTACCCCCAATGGCGGCCTCATTTCCTGTCACGGTGTTTCCTGAGTCTCAGGCAGAACCGGGCGTTTAATGTGTGAAGTAGGAGTTTGAACCTAGCGCGGTGATTGGTCAGTTTCGTTGCTGCCACCTCCGATGGCGGCTTCATTTCCTTTCCAGGTGATTTTCTTGAGTCAAAATGAGAGTACCCCTAAACATTTTTTAGAGAGAGAGAAAGCACTGACTGGATCCCTTCAGATCCCAGGATGGGCTCCTGCAAATTCGCTATGTTTTGGAAAATTCAGGGCACTTGGAGGGTTTGCAAGAAATGAGACACTCTAGCTAGTCCAGGGAGGGAGTTCCAGAGTCTGGGAGCAGCCACCGAGATAATCATGAATGTATGATAGAAAGGATATGCAGAGGGGCCCACGGGCCTCTCCCATGACTTTATAACCTCAGAAATGCACATGTTTATTTGATAGAAGCCCTGCAACCAAATATCCATGTACATGGAAATCTAGTTTGTGCTAGCCTTCTGCTTTGGGGGCAAATTTTACAGGGGATGATTTTTAAAAAGCAATCCCTGCCCATATGCAGCCTGAATACTATGAGATGCACAGCTGCAAGTCTGAATCAGCCTTCAGTTGATTACACACCTCATGTTTAATTCCCCAGCATCCTTTGATATTTAAGCACTACCTGCTTTGTAAAGTCCTGCAAATCCTTTGCCTTTGATTTTGGGCGCTATCTTTTTCCATCTTTCATACACGGATATGTCCTTGTTATTTCAATTAAGACTAGGAGAAAGAATTGGAGGGGCTCATAGTTTCAAGCATATAAATCTAGGGCAGCTGTGGTTCAAGTCACCAAAACATGGAAATAGAGTTTCCTACAAACCAATCCTCTTCTCTGAGGCCAGCTCAGTGGCTGTGATGAGTCACCGATTCAAAAACGATTTCAAAATGATGGCAGCATTAATTTTCAGAATCGATAAACCATAGGATGCATTGATGCACTTTTCTGTTACATCCCACCTTTCATCTAAGGCAGGATTGTGCCCAGGTTTTGAGGATTGTGCCCTAGGTCACATGACCATGGTGAACAGGGTTTAGAACAGCTAAAAGTCTCTCACTGCATCCCACCATGTGCCTGAATTTTGCAGTCTGCACCATACAGCAGTCTAGCTGGGATACAATTAATGAGGAAGGATGATCGTTACAAACATTTCCACTTTTAAATTAATTTGTTTCACTTTCTCTCTCTGTGTGTGTGTGTGTGTGTGTGTGTGTGTGTGTACGCACACATACTTGAAGCTATGTGCAAATTAAAAGCAACTGGGGGGGGAATAAAAGGGTAAAATTAAAACGGAGCATAATACCAAAGCTACTAAATAACAGCACCTTAGCAGCACGATTCCCCCCCCCCAATAAATAACATTATCGGTCAATATACCTTGTGGCAGAAGAGAAGCAGAAAGATTGTCAGCTGAGCCCCCTTGGGCCGGCAATTTCAATGAGTAGAAACCACCGAAGACAAACCTCAAGAATGAAAGCAGATTGTGGGATACCCTGATTTTCCAGGGACAGTCCCAGAATTATGAAAGCCATGCCAGCTTCTGATTTGATCCCAGAATGTCCCTATTTCCCCCGCCAGCACTGCGAGCTCAGGGAGTAGAATGAGCCGGCGCTTGTCGCGAGCAACGGCAGCGGCAGCAGCTGCTGCGAAGGAGCATCCCGTTGCCTCTCCATGGCTGCTGCCGCTGGCCTCCTCCCTTGGCCAGCTCATAGCGACTGCTAGAGGATGGGCAAGGAGAAACAGAATCTGCTGCCACCAAGGCCCGCCTCGCATGATGCAGTGGCTCCAGGGCCGTCTTTAGTGTTAAGTTGTGGGTGAACATATCAGACAACACAGCCATTCTTCAAACAGCTCTTGTTTATTCACAGGCCAGAACAGAACTGAACTGAAGGGTTCAGTCAGCCTGCATATAAAGAGCTCCAGTACAACGTAACTGTAACAATTTTCTAAAACTATCCAATCACTTTCGATCCCTTATTTGCATAACTATCTACAGTATCCCCCTGCTGGCCCAGGGTGAGAACTTCAGTACATAACATTTAGCATATGTGGCGCCGGGGTGCAAAGATCCGCCCAGCACCCCCATAGTTGTTGAGCTTTTAAGGAGGGAAACAGCGAAAACCGCTAACATGAAAAAATAAAAAGCGGCAGCGATAACTCCGCCTTCCCGTTTTTGCGATCATGCGAAAATGAAAGACACCGCTAGGGGGCGCCACTGGATACGTTGATTCTGCAGCTCTTCCGCAAAAGAGAACGGAAATGACCCATCAACCACCATCACTCGGGGATCACGGTTAAGAGCTTAGGCGGCTTCAGTTGTGGGCGCTCCCCAGAATTTGGCGCCCGGGTGCACCGCACCCCTTGCACCCCCGGGTAAAGACGGCCCTGGCTGGCTCAGAGGGGCAGGCAGATGGCAGCACCACCCTGGATGGTAAGAAGGGGGGAGGAGAGCGGAGCACTATGGGTCTTGATTTTTAAATAAAAAATGCTTTGTGCGTCTGTGTCTAATCTTTCCCTTCTAAAATGTATTTATTGGCTTGTGTTTTCCTTCTTGCAAATCTACCAAAGAATAGAATAGAATAGAATAGAATAGAATAGAATAGAATAGAATAGAATGGGTTTTCTCAGGACAGTGGAGGGCGTGTGTGCTATGTCCCATTGGTCTTGTAGTGCCTTTTTCTGATAGGAAATGCTATGCAGTGGGAGGGTCGCAAAAAATGGGGAGTTAAGGATTGTTCATTGGAGAAATGTCCCTACTTTCATCTGAGGAATGTTGCAGGTCTGGATCACGTCTGGCTTTAACCCTGATGCAATGCTCTCTGAACTACGGCTAGGAGATTGGGAGTACTCCATAGAACTTTGTGCTCATCATCACCCCTCTTCCCTTCCACAATGGCTTCCCCTCCTCTCACAACCCTGGCCCTCCAGCCTTCAGGTTTCTGTATCAGTGTTTTGTTTTGTTGTTTCCCCCCCCAATAATATTTATTGAGTTTCATACAAACACATTACTTCACTAAAACAAAAATAAGAACAATAATAATAAAAGGAAAAAGGAAAAAGAAAAAAATAATAATACAAACCTAACAGATAATAACCAAGAATACAACCACGTACACAAGTACAATGAGACTTAATTAGTTAGTTAAGCTTCCAACTTCATAAACATATTACTTGACTTCCTCTAATCTCTTCCATCTGAATTTCCATGTAACTGAATGTAGCAGTTTTCCAATATTATTACTCAAAAAACAATATTCCGGTTATAATCTAATTTCTTAACTTTTCATGTCGTTCTATTTCTCAATTATTTATTTAATCCTAATTTAATCCTAGGCCTATTTAATTCTTTCAAGTAATTACTAATCTTTAATGTTACAGTATTTGTTCAAATAATCTTTAAATTTCTTCCAGTCTTCTTGATATTCCTCTTCTTTCTGGTCGCGGATTCTCCCAGTGAGATCAGCCAGCTCCATAAAGTCCATCATCTTCATCTGCCTCTGTATCAGTGTTAGCACGAACCATAGCTAGCCTCAACCATAGTTTGTAAATCCCCTTCTAACTCAAGTCACAAGCTGTAGTTGTAAAGTTAACATCCCCATACATGCAAACGTGACACTACCTGGTACAGTGGAACCTCGGTTTTCAAGCGTCTCGGAAAGCCAAACGATTCGGAACCCAAACGCTGAAAACCCGGAAGTGAATATTTCCATTTTCAGACGTGCATCGGAAGTTGAACGGCTTCCACTGCACATTTCTCCATTTTTCTGAATGGAATTTGCCGACCTCCCATTGTGCCTTGGTTGTCAAACGTTTCGGAAGTCAAACAGTCTTCTGGAACAGATTACGTTCGATAAGCGAGGTTCCACTGTATTAACTGATAAACCATAATTTAACTTCCAGACTGGAAAGTAAGCAGAATGATGTCCAGATGATAGTATGGGGTGGGGCGGATGCAGCTGAGTGCTCCTAACCATGGTTGCAAACCTACCAAGAGCCCTGTGTTGGGATTCACAGAATGCTGTGTAAGAAAGTCTGCAGGCTTCAGTTTGCAACAGGCTGATGCAATACTCTCTGTGGAATGACTCAGCAGTAATGTGATTGGCTGTCACCGGTTTAAAGGTAGAGCCTGTTCAACAATGGCGGCGGTGGTGGAGTGGTGGAGTGTGGAGTCTTCTTTTGCCTCAAGGTGCAGGTACTCTGTCTGAACTGCTCCTGTAAATATTTGTATATATATTTAGCTCACATTAAACAATACTGCACTAAAGAACCTGGGACTCTGAGCATTCTGCTAAAAGCGCCGCGAGGAATTCGCGACACCCTGCCGGATCAAGACCAAAGACCTACCTAGCCACATTGGCTCACAAGATACCTATAGGAAGCTCATAGGTAGAACTTAGGTGTGATAGCAGAACATGAGGCCAACAGTTAGGAGAACAGGCAGTGTGATACCTGCCTGAAGCCGAAGCAATAACTTGCTAAATTCAAATACTATTACATCTTCCCACTGAATATCACAAAACCCATCTGCATTCATACCTGAGAATGGGGGATGGGGAAATCTGTTTTATTTTATTGCAAGCAGATTAATCTGAGTAGAACTTGTCTTTCTCCTTTTCAGATTCATGCCTTCCAAAACTCA